CCCCAAAACCCCAAAACCCCAAAACCCCAAAACCCCTCTGAATTAACTCAAGATTGTAAGAAAAAGTCAATTAATGAAAGAAATTACTCTATTTGCATTTTTGGGTCTGTTCAAGAAAAGCATTCATAAATCTTCTCAGAGATCTTCTTCCCTATCTTCTGAGTTTTCCCTTCTCCGTATTGTGAAGGCACTTCTATTTTACATAGTATTAACTTCTTCTCAGATTCAGGGATGTCTTTCCTGTTATATTCCTTGACTAAATTTTTAAAATTGGGATATTTCTTGGCAATAGCAATGGCTTTCGCTTCACTGACACCTGGGATGCTCATGATCATACCTATCCAATACTTAGAGAAAATATCCTCGAATCCTTCACAATATGCCTTCTTGGAGTATTTGGCTCCTTTGGCTGCTATGTACGTGCCTTCCATCAAGAATTCTTTTCTTCCAGACTTTTTCTCAAGACATTCTTGGATGTTGTTGACAAGTGTAAAGAATTCTTCCATATTCTTCAGCTCAATGAAATCAAATTCAAATGCGACAGTAAGCTCGACTAAGAATTCTTGGTACATCTTACTTGTGATATCAGGGTTGTTGAGTAAAGAGTCTCCTACTGACTGGAGAACGACCAGTGTTTTTGTACCTTTGTGCGGGTAAAATGACTTTATCATTTTAAGATCTTTCCTCACCTTGCCTTCCAGATAGTCTTTCTCAAAAGTGGCTGCATTATAGTAGACCATTCATACTTCACTTTCATACTCTACTTTCCTGGGCTCGCTACCTTTGGCTGAGATCCAGACCAAGGTATTATCAAAAGTGCGGTCACTGAACTTATATCCAATAGAAAGATTGTCCAAAACCTCGAGTAGCTCCTCTCCAATATCAAGGTTCTGAAGCTTAGCGTCAGCCAGGATGAAGAAGTGTTGCTGCTCTTTCTTAGTAATCAGTCTATTTGCTTTCAAATTCGCATCCATTTATGTCCAAATTTACTTTAAAAACTCGGGGTTTTGGGGTTTTGGGGTTTTGGGGTTTTGGGGTTTTGGGG